AGGAATGGACGTGGACAAGTTCTTGTTGTCATTGCATTATGATGAATGAGAAGAAGTTGATCTGTGACTGTCTAAGCTAGGTGTTCTGCTGGGGTTTTGCATGGGAAGAGAAGTTAGTTCTAAGGGGTGAGTTGCACTTTCAGTGCACTGAAGTTTCACTTTATAGCAAAATCATGCTGTTTCTGAAGCAGGTTGCTAAGTGTAAATATCATTGAGTTGGTATATGTTTATTTTTGAAAAAGCACTTGCGTCATTATAGAGCCATTTAATTTGCAGAATTGTACATTTGTATAAATGTAATGTAAGAAAAGTTGTATGTTTCTGTTATACCACGTTGTCTGTGTTCTGCTGCATTCTCTACTTGGCCCTCTGAACTGCTTGTGAAAAAGCTGGGAAGCTGGGAAAAGGTGGTGTTTGTAGTTCACTCCTCTTGGACCTGAGCAGCTGCCGGGCCCTGCCCATTGTCTTGTTGAATCCAAAAGGGACTTGACCTTCAGATACAACCAGCTTGTACTAACACTCTCTTCTCTCATAACTCATGTTGTAAGGCTGTCAGTGAGTTAACAAAAAATACCAGTAATTCAACATAAGGAAAAAAACCCTCCAAAAGTATTTCTACCTAATGAAGTTTCTCCCATCCAGTCATTCAGAGAACTTAAACTGGGTCAGGTCTCATCTCTTAACAGTGGTTGCAGCACAAGATGGCGTTGGAAAGCAAAGACGGTTCTCAAACAATGGACTCTGTTGGGGATTAACCCCCATGTCCGGGGTGAATACTTAAACTATAGCAATAGCCAGAAAAAGATTTCAGCATGTCCTATTGCTCAAGTAAATTCTTTTAACTGTCATTTGAACTGTTGAGAAAGTGTTTTGCTAATACCACTTACTCTTTTAGCCAGACATGGAAGAATTTTTATCTAATCTTTCCGTTCAACATGGAATTGGTCACTGTGTCTTCTATTATACAAACTCTTCAAAACAGGCACTAGAGAAAGGCAGCCTTACCCTTTGATCATTATTAGTATGGATGACAGTTACCACACTATGCCTTGCTCCAGTACTGCAAAATTGTCTCTACTGGTATTTCCTCTTTTGTTCTCAAATTATTGAGGTCTTAAAAAAAATGCAAAGTTTTTTTGTAAGAGATCTGTACAGCAACAGGGCAATGTTTCAGAAAGTATACAAGGATTCCTAAGGAACCAATATTATGCAGTAGATGTTTATATTAAACCCATCCAATAACAAAATACTGCATAGCATTTACAGCTTGAATAAATATTTTTGTTTTTATTAAGACTTTTGTGTCTTGCTTCGTATTTTGTAAGTCTCCTAACCAGTTCTGTGGGTATTGTTTCAAACAGTGGTGTTGATCAGTCATTTTTTAAGACAAAAGAGTTCAGTATGGAACACTAATTACAGCAATTGTCAGTAGCAAAAACAGTTGTGTCTTTGCTCCATGGTGGCATTTTATACTTAATATTCTGACAATTGATATGTGGTATTTTTAAATAGATTTGCTATTTCTTTGAGACCTAGTGTATTTTTTTCATGGGACTGCCACTATCCACCATAGCATTTATTTCAGTTCAGGTGACTGGTAATACTAAAGAAGACATGAATTATCAGTTCACTGACACTTTCAGAGGAAGAAGCATCTTCAGTTCCAAGCTGCTGTCATATGGCAAGTAATTTTTAAAAGAAAAAGTGTCAAGAGCATGAATGAAAGTTAATTTTCTTACAGTGCAACATTTAAACCCCACTGTTCCATTTTCTACCTCCTTCCCAGAAAAAACAGATCCCATACTAAAGAAGACATGAATTATCAGTTCACTGACACTTTCAGAGGAAGAAGCATCTTCAGTTCCAAGCTGCTGTCATATGGCAAGTAATTTTTAAAAGAAAAAGTGTCAAGAGCATGAATGAAAGTTAATTTTCTTACAGTGCAACATTTAAACCCCACTGTTCCATTTTCTACCTCCTTCCCAGAAAAAACAGATCCCACTATTTTATTCCTCCTACTTTATGGAGGAAAAATATAAGGACAAGCAGTAGGTAGAGTTTTTTTTTTTTGAAATTAAGGTAAAAATAAGAGAGCAATTGTCTTAAATCCCTTGGGATAAATGGACTGGGATCTATTTATCCCTTTGGAAGAGGGTGAAGTGGGAACAGGCTTTATACTGGTCAAATGGCCAGTTTTTACCATAGGGCAAAAAGTCTGCCAACGAAACTACCTTGTCACTGCAGTCTGGAACAAGCTTTATTCCAGCAATGTTCCTATCTCCATCCATGCAGTAGGAATGCCTTAACCCTGTGTTCCTGAAGACTCAACTGTGAGTTCAAGAGTGCAGCCAGGTCATGGCAGCTCCCAGTGCATCAGCAGTAACTGTGCCCCTTGGGGCTGGAATCTGCCTCTGTAAAAGCAGATGGACAGAGCTGCCCAGCACTGAGCCTTACATGACCAAACCCCACAGGAGCAGCAGCACTGAGGCCAGGGTGCTACCTGCCTGGGGAAGTTATACCAGTCTTGCTTCTAGGCTGCTTGAAGACACTACAGCCCAAGGCAGGGGAGCGAGTGCTACAGCAGGGCTCCTTCCTGCATGTCAGCTGCCTTCCAGGTACACTAAATAGAGAACCAATCTTTGAGGATTTTACCATGAAAATCACAGAGTAGTTTAAAACAAAAGCCACTAAACTGTAACAAACCAGCTGCTTCTAGTAGTGGCACAATGTGAGTTACCAAGAGAATTCTTCAGTGGTGTTTGAGAAACCAAGGAGCCACAGGTAGCAAATACATTCTTTATTGTCTGGTCTTGAGCCACTGTAGTTTGACATTTTTTATTTGCACTGTATAAAAAACTTGCTTTGAGTCTTAAGTAACAAAGCCCAGTTGTCTCTATCAATAGTCAATAATGTTTTAAGAAATGTCAGAATAGCATTTAAAGAATTCATCCACTTAATGATACATGTAAGATGTAACAGGTGCCACTCATGATTTTGATCAGAGCTCCCAAAGCTATGTGGGACTACAACTTCTCTATTAATATTGCAGAAGCTCCTCCTCCTCCATTGCAAATTCCTGCTAGACCATATTGTCCTTGTTTCAATGCATGGGCCATGTGAACAACAATTCTTGCTCCAGACATTCTACAATAAAAGAAAATAAAATGCATACAGCTTAGTACAAAGGAAATTCTTAACTTGACCTGCACAGGATAGCTGATATAGTACTGGTTCACTGGATGGAAAAATCCACCAACAAATCCTTTCATCTACATTTAGATGCAATACAGGTATTTTTCTCTAGCTACAGCACTTAAACAGATTCTTGTACAGGCACAAACAAAAACTCTGTCTTTATTTAAAGTTTCTTCTGGAAAAGGAGATCTCCTCTAAGCCAGTCTGTATATTATTAAGTATCTGCATGTACCAGAGCTTTTTCAAAGAAAACAAATCTCCCACAAAAAACAAATTGAGAGCAACTCAATCCACCTAATGTACAAAATCTGACATTAAAATTCTGTCATTAGACTGTCAAAATTAACTTCTAAGACAAAAAAATAAATAGATCATATTCCCTTATAAGCAGGTGCTAAAGCAATGGATATGTCAGCATGTCCGGTGGGATTAGAGCTTTTTATGAACTGCAAAGTCCTCCTACTTGTTCCTGATGTACAACATGGTTCCTTCACATCTGTATTTACTCAGAGGATTTGAAATTAGTTTTTCCTTATAGACCTGGACTGTACAGGATGCTCACCCTCAGGGAGGATTAATGGGACATAGTTAAGTCATGAGTAAGTAACAGCTGCTGGGGAACACAGGTGATCAGACTCCTCTAACCAAATGATAGAACTTCTAACAAAAGACCTGCCAACATGCACCAGACTATGCCCCTCTGCTGCATTAGGTGCTTGGAGACTTCTGGATCCACTGCCAAAAATGCTTTGTCAAGACCTGGAATTTGACTTTGCTCAGGGAGGAAGTCCCTGTACCATATCCTTTGCTATTTTCCTAAGTTTACTTGTACATTTTATTAGCTGAACTACTTGATTATTGTTTATTCTGTCATGTTGATAGTGATTTGCTTTTCGTACTTCAGAAATCCATATAGCTCTGGTAACAAGCAAGGTCTTTGGAAAAGTAGGTTATGATTCATCCACTTTCAAGGTACCCTGGAATTCCACACCTCAAGTAAGTCACTATATACTTGACAGCAAATTTCCATTACCCTTCCTACTAGCATTGTTGGAAAATAAAGATAGAAGTGTTACCACTGTGTCCAGAAAACAGTGCCTTGAGCAGAACACAAACCTGCTTATTTTACCTACCCTATTGGATGCCCAAGAGATACAGCACCTCCATTAATATTCACTTTTTGTGGATCAATACCCAGCATCTTAACATTGGCTAGCACCACAACACTGAATGCTTCGTTGATTTCCCACATGGTAATATCTTCTTTTTTTAAGCCCGTCTCACTCAGAATCTAGAAATAGTAATAAAAATTATTACTAATATGAAAAAATGAGGAAGCTAACTACAGAAATAACTAGGTCTAGTTTGAAGCTGGTGACTCAGGCTGCCTATAGTCTGATTCAAGTTCGCATTTCAGAACCTCTTTGTCAGATGGGAAATCCCCAAGCTGAGGTGCTGAAGCACAAACCTGAGTTTCCACAGAAGAAATGGAAAGCACTTTATGCTGCCAAGAGTGTGTTTTCATCACACTTAGACTGTGATGAACATGTACTTACTACTACAGTTAAGTACATTTAAACTGATACAGTATTGCCTTGCACAATGCACTTTGTCATCAGTTCCTTTTTGATCTAGTCTATACTCATCTAACCACAAGTATTTTGCCTTTTAGCCAAACTAGCTGCAAAGCTTCCCAGGGGTAAACAAGCCCAAAGTTGGTAAGAACAGTTATGAAACAATTCTCTCTTTCAAAATAGGTGTGAGAAGTTTGTTAGGCTGAAAATATGCATCCTAGCCTTGATCCTCTGTAAAATGTGTTTGTATTGATGGTGTAATTATAATTTTGATCCTAATTACAGGCAGATCCACTGAGGGGTGAACCAACAATCCAGTGCTAGGGAAAGCTGCTGGTTTACAAAAAATTTCATTTTTTTTATTCCTACCTTGGGAACAGCATATGCAGGTGCAATTGGGAAGTCAATGGGATCAACAGCAGCATCTGCAAAAGCTGTAAAAAAACACTGTTAGTGTTTTTTACACTAAAATAAAAAATAGCTGTTTAAAGACCTTTTGGTTTTACCAGAAATTATTTTTATTTGTGCAAGCAGCAAACCCAGCCAAGACAGAAGAATTCTGAATATAATGGTCTATTACATAGAAACATCTAAAGTTAAGTGCCTTTAATCAGCCACATAATAACATTCTCAGATTTTTAATACTATTCCATACAGAAAATTATGTTCATGATCAAAACCCTACTGGTGCAACACTTGATGTTTCAAGGTCTGTATTGAGAGGATGCAGCCATATGCCTAAGGCCTCACCTTTTCTGTTCCATGGATGTCAAGTAACCAGCCAAACAGGACTCCCAGTCTAAGAGCATCCACTGGAGTTACTTTCCAGAGTGCACTCAAAGATAAGAAAAATCTTACCTACTATCCTTGCCAAAGGCTTGACTTTCAGTCTCCTGGCTGCCTCTGTGGTCATCAGCACCAAAGCAGCTGCTCCATCATTCAGAGTACTGGCATTAGCAGCTGTCACTGTCCCTAGAAATGTAAAGCATTGTTTAAATGGAGGGGAAGGTGTGATAATGTTCACTAACATCCCATTCATTACTTTTTTTTGTACCTTGGGCCCTTGAACAGGTCTTAGCAATATGGTGATATCTGTTGCACTGAGTTAACAAGTGCAACCACATGTATCCGTATCTTTATGCAAGTGGTAGTTCAGATGATGCCTTCCATGTCAGCTGCATTGCTGGCATTTGGCATCACAGAATTCCAGCCCAAAAAGGGTTGTGAACGAGTGGCAACTTGGATTTAGCTAGAAAGATTTATCCATCACAGAGTCAGGGAACTGACAGGCAACTGTGTAAAGGCACTCACTCCATTCCCCACTGACAGAAAAGCTTATACTTGGTGGAGACCAAGGCAATAGCTAAACTGAAACAAACTCCTTTCATTCTTTTAAAAATAAATGTCCAAAACAGGTTTTCACTGGCTTAAACCTCCTGGACGATCTTTTAATCCAAGCTAATTCATGCTGTTAAGAAGCATATTTCTTTACCTTGGTAGGTTTTTGGACATTCAAGCTCTTGTGAACAGTTCTCTTCACTGTAACAAACTATTCTTGCCCTTTGTGGAAAATTAAACACTTAATTTAATAATATTTACCATTTTCTTTTTGGAAAACAGCTTTCAGCTTTGGAACTTTACTAAAATCAACACGTTTGTATTCTTCATCTTCTTTCACTTCTACATCTGGCTTTCCTGAAATTCAGATTTCATTTAGTACTTGATAGAACAGTCCATCTTTAAGACATTCTAACACACTACTTTTTTTTTCAGTTTTCTTAATATAATTTATTCACTGCAAATCCATTTATACTTCACAGTAGCTGAATGAAACAGAGAAAACCCATATCTTTAAGGTAATCAGTAATTAAATGAAAAATCAGATGTCCTCAAGTCATAATAGCTAAATTCAATAGCTTGTCTTCCACTTACATATAAAAAAGGAAAAAAGATGTGGTATGTGACATTAAAGAAAGATTAAAAACCAAAACCAGATCAGAGTCAGTGACTGCTGTTCATCAGAAAGTCTGATCCTTACCTCATCTAAAATTACTATTCCTGAGATTTGCAAGTTTAAACAACACACTCTGCACTGAGCACAGACAATGTTACAGCTTTCAATGACAAACACAATTCATTTTACCACACCTTCCCATAATACCTTTTTTTGAAATAGTGACAGGGACTATTTCATTTTTCAGTACCCCTGACTCCCAGGCTGTCTTGCTCTTAGTGTAAGAGCCTATGGCATAAGTGTCCTGCTCCTCTCGTGAAATGGTGAACTTCTTCGCAGTATTCTCAGCACAGTTTCCCTTGGAGAAAACCAGGCATGTTAGGTTGGGTATTTCTGGAGATGTGAGATAGAAATGTCACAGAAAAAACTCAACCAGTAGATTTCCAGAATTGAATGTCACTAACACTTTGTGTCCATTTCTAATTTAAACAGTCATGATCAAGCAGTAACTTCTGGTTTTGGAGTATGAACATCAGATGTAGCAAATGTTTTCTGGATCCAGGTTATTAAAACCATGAAGGAACTTTCTTTACAAGGCTTTTTTTGAAGTTAAGAAACTGCATGCAAAAGTAAGTTTTAAAGCGCTTAAGGCTGACATCTTCAGAGACCGAAGGTCGTTGTTCAGCCACAGAAAAGTATGTTTACACCATCTCACTCATGTTTTCATTCCATGATTAGCTTGCCTACACCAAAGGTTACAAAACCTGGTCAACACAACAGGCTCACGTAGCCTTGGGCATATGATATTCTAAAAACTGTACCAATAAATGTATACCTTTTGTCTAATAACTGGAATAAGTAGAATGAAACAAATAATTCTATATACAGGTCAATCATAATCTTAATTATACAATCATCATTAATTACCAACATTGTCTAAATACCTCTTGAGAAAATACATTAAAAAAAGGATACTCACTTAGTCAACTTGGAAGATTTGTTCTTTAACAGGCTTTGTTCCACTTCTCATTTCTTTAGAAAACTCAATAAATCAACATAAAACCCTTTAGTACCCTGTTCCCCCCGTTCCTCAAACAAGCAAGTTAACTTCTATGCAGTTAAAGAATTCAGAGTCCTCACAGCACTACCAACTTAGTCTGCTGCTAAAACATAGACAAGAGCAAGTTCCTAAAGCCATTCAATGGGCCTTCCTGGATATTCTCACACAGACTGTTAACAGTTTTCCAAGTGATTTACAGCTGCTATCTTGAAGACAAAATGGATTTCAAAAAATATTGTCTCGATCTATTAAAACTTTGTGTATTATAACCAAGTCCTACAGTTTTTCCCCATGTAGTGGAACTAGCAAAGCCACTATTTATATTCCTCTAAAAATCCTCACAATAAAAATCCATTTTAACTGAAATGTGGGAGTGAATTTTGACAACCTAAGCAGAGTGTGCTAAATTGCAACAGGAATAAATCACACACGGAAACATGAGGTCTGTATCAAATATGTGGATCATAGTAGAATATTCTTTGTGGTATGATATCCTGCAGGGCAGCACAAACACTAACTGATCAGTCAATAATGCCCTACAGCTGTGAATTACCACAGGCAAAGGCCAGAAATATTCATCAACTGAAACTAGTCATTCTCTTTTCAAACTGTTCTTCCCTGATTCTTGTTCTTCTCTATCTTCATATCAGCCGTTTTCCAAACCCATCCTAAGTTTGCAGTTGTTTGTCTAATTTAAGTTACTATGCTGATGAGTAAGCCTATCAGCTGACTCAAACCCTCCAACAGAAGATAAGGAGGTATGTACATTGGGGGAGGAAAAATAAACACGACAGCCTGCTGAA